GCCGTCCCATTCCCGGGGCACCAGGGGATCCAGCGCGCCCGGCTGAGGCTGCTTCAGGCCTTTCACTGGCCGGGATATTTGCAGCCGTGCAGCGGGACTGCCGGGCCTGCGCCTCCTGCCGGATGGCACGGAAAGCCCGAGACGAGGGGGAAGCCGCCTTGAGGCCCCTGCCCCTGGGAGAGGAGTAGGGATGCCAGGTGTCCAGTATTCACCCAGACAATCCAGGATTTTCGCCTCCTGTCCGGTAAAAACATTCAGAGAAAACCAGACACCTAAGATGTCCTGTATTCTCTCAATTCTTCCCCGTCCAGGCGGCAAAAATGCCGGGCACCTGGAAAAAGAACGGTTACTTACCTAGAACTGCTGTTCTTGGAGACGTGTTGCTCACGTCCATGCGAATTAGGTGTGCGCACCGCGTGCACCGCGTCTCCTGGAGCGTTTTCCCTAGCGGTACCCGTAGCGCCGGCAGGGCGCCCCCTGGAGTGGCGCCACCATGGCGGGGCATAAGTACCCCTGCCGGCGCTGCCCCCCCTCAGTTCCTTCTTGCCGGATGCTCCGACGAAGGGGAGGTGGGTGGGAGTCGAATGAACGTGAGCAACACGTCTCGAAGAACAACAGTTCCAGGTAAGTAACCGTTCTTTTCTTCTTCGAGTGGTTGCTCACGTCCATTCGAAGTAGGTGACTCCCAAGCTAACCCCATGGAGGGGGGGTCGGAGCAGGCAGAAAAGGTGAACAAACAGAACGAATTTATTCAAACGAGCCAACACACACAAGGCACGTATTAACAACAACTCAAGATATTTACATCACAGATTTGAGAACTGCAGAGCCCACACCTGCGTCCTCTCTGGCCTGCTGTGCTAGCGCATAGTGCGCCGTAAAAGTATGGAGGGACGACCATGTGGCCACCCTGCAAATTTCCGTAATTGGTACCTGAGCACCAAATGCTACCGAGGACGCCTGCGCCCTGGTAGAGTGTGCCTTCACCCTGGGTGGGGTTTTACCAGCCAGTTGATAATATTCTCTGATACATTGTGCAACCCAGTTTGACAATCTTCGTGTCGAGATAGGCGACCCTTTCACCCTGTCCCCAAAAGCGATAAACAGCTGTTGGGATTTGCGAAAAGGCTTGGTCCTCTCAATGTAGAACGCCAGCGCTCGCTTAGCGTCCAGGGAGTGAAGCACCCGCTCCTTAGGGGAGGCGTGGGGCTTCGGGAAAAAATCCGGGAGATAAATCTCCTGGGAGAGGTGCAAAGGTGGTACCACCTTTGGGAGGAAGGCTGGATGAGGCCGGAGCCTCACGTTGCTATGTGAAAAAACAAGGTAGGGCGGATCAATGGTTAACACCCTTAGTTCAGAGACCCTTCGAGCAGACGTAATGGCTACGATGAAAGCAACCTTCAACACGTGGGAACACGTGGCCAGTGGCTCAAAGGGGGGCGACATAAGCCCGTGCAGTACCACGTTGAGGTCCCAGACGGGAAGCGGGGCCCTCGCTGAGGGGTACAGCTTTTCCAGACCAGTAAGAAACCTTGTAACCACCGGGTCAGAAAAGAGGGAAACTCCTGCCGTACCGACATGGAAGGCGGAGAGGGATGCCACATGGACTTTGATAGAAGAAAAGGAAAGGCCACTGGACCGAAGCTGGAAAAGTGGGGACAGAGGCCGAGGACGGATGTACTCCTCTTCGGGACGCCCAAGACGAGAAACGCTGCCACTTGGCAGCGTACAACCGTCTGGTAGAGGGTTTCCTGCTACTGAGGAGCACCATCTGAACCTCCTGGGAACATTCCCTGTCCGGTTGGTTCAGCCATGGATAAACCAGGCCGCTAGGTGGAGAGATCTGAGATTCGGGTGAACCATGGTCCCCCCGTCCCAAGGTTGAGTTAGCAGGTCCCGGACTGGAGGGAGCGCTATTGGATCTTCGGTGAGCATGTCCACCATGATGGGGAACCAGAATTGTCTGGGCCACCTGGGGGCTATAAGAATGATCGTGGACCGAAAGGTCCGTGCCCTGGTCAACACCCTGGAAATCAGGGGAAACGGGGGAAACGCATAGAGAACGCCCTTTGGCCACATGGCCGTTAGGGCATCCCCCAGGGAATATTTCCCCAGTCCCAGTAGTTCTGGCACTTGGCATTGTGCACTGAGGCGAACAGGTCTAGGAGGGGATAACCCCACCTGCGGAAAACCTGACGCAGGACAGAGTCCTTGAGTGACCACGCGTGGGCTCCGAAGGATCTGCTGAGTGTGTCTGCTAACAGATTCTTGCACCCCGGAAGGTACTCTGCCTGTGGCGTGATACCGTGTTTCACACACAGGTGCCAAAGGAGCAGGGCCTCTCTGCAGAGGGGAGGTGACCGGGCTCCCAGCCTTCCCCAGCGGCACAGGCCCCGGTGCCGGAGTCAGACCCGCAGGCGACACAAGACGTCCAGCCGGCACCGCAGTTGGCACCGACCGGCCCGGCACCGATGAAAGAGTCATCCTCGTCGTCATCCCCTGATGAGGCTCTGGCAGACCCGGCACCGAGCCTGCCTACTATGGATGCCTGCACGCATCAGGATTTACTCCGGCGCATGGCATCAAATCTGAGCGTCCCGGTAGAACCCGTCAGGCTCTTCTCACCGCTCGCAATTCCCGGACGTTTGTGTGAAGGGTCTGTTCCAAGGGGGACCACAGACCCTGAGTCCTGTGCTGCCCAGCCCAGGTCGGAGGCATCGGTGACCAGTGTGAGGGAGGGGGGAGGAGCATTGAAAGGTACCCCACTGCACACCACAGTCTCCTGGGTCCACCATTGTAGGGAGGCCAGGATCTCTGGGGGCACTTATGACCGAATCCCAAAGACCCCGCGACTGGCTGAAGGCCTTCGCCAACCAATCCTGCAGGGGTCTGATTCTCATTCTGGCGTGGCGCACCGTGTACGTGCACGCAGCCATGTGACCCAGGAGCCTGGAGCAGACCCGAGGGGTCGTGACAGGGGACCAGGTTAACCCCGAAATCAGCTCCACTATGGAGAGGAACCTGCTCCTGGGGAGGAACGCTCTTGCTACCCTTGCGTCGAGAAGGGCCCCCACGAATTCTAGGTGCTGGGAGGGGGTCAGGGACGACTTCTCGTCGTTTAACATGAGCCCGAGCTTTAGGAAGAGGGCCTTGGTGAGTGACGTGAGCCTTCACCTGCGCATACGAGCGACCTCGGATTAGCCAATCGTCGAGGTGCGGGAACACGAGCACCCCTTGCTTGCGGAGAAACGCTGCAGCCACAGCCATGCACTTGGTGAACACCCTTGGTGCCGTAGATAAACCAAAGGGGAGCACCGTAAACTGAAAATGGTGTTGGCCCACCATAAACCTGAGGAACCTCCTGTGGCCGGGCCTGATCTCCACGTGGAAGTACGCGTCCTTGAGGTCGAGAGGCGCGTACCAGTCTCCTAACTGTAGCACTGGGATGACCGAGGCCAAGGTCACCATGCTGAACCTGTGTTTTATAACCACCTTGTTTACATTTCTGAGGTCCAAGATGGGACGGACTCCTCCCTTTGGTTTGGGGAGGAGAATCCCCTTCCCCGCACGTGTGGGGGAGCCTCCTCTATTGCTCCCTTTGCAAGGAGAACGGACCCTTCCTGATAGAGGATTGTTTGTGAGGGGTGTCCCTGACGAGAGGCGGGGAAGGGGGATTTGAAGGCGGTGGGCCCAAGAACGGGATGGTATAGCCTCCATTTACTATACTTAGAACCAGGTATCCGATGTGATTAGTGCCCACGCACGGCCAAAAAGGGATAGCCTGGCCCCAAACGGGGGCCCAGGGTGGGAGACCGGTGCGTGACCCTCGAAGAGCGCGTCAAAATTGCGGCTTGCCCCGATGGGAAGGGCCGTGGGGACCTCCCCGCTGGCTGTCTGCCCTGGGGCGACGACGGCAACCCCTAGCACCCTGGGGGTGCGCAACCACCCCGGAACCTCCACCGGCGGCCCGGGAGCAGCGCCTCCAGTAGTCCCCACGGGGGACCTGGGGCTGCGCCCTCCCCTGTTGCCTATAGGGCAGCTGTCGACGCTGCGGGGCAGGCGTGTGGATGCCCAAGGACTTCAGGGTGAACCTCGTGTCCTTTAGCGTGTGGAGCCTAGAGTCGGTGCGCTCCGAGAACGAAGTCTTGCCCTCGAAAGGCAAGTCTTGGATCGTATTTTGAACGTCAGGGGGAATCCCCGAAACGTGCAGCCAGGCACCACGACGCGTAACTACACCAGTTGCCATAGTGCAGGCTGCCGAATCGACTGTGTCCAGGGACGCATGGAGGGCAGTTCGGGCGATGACCTTGCCCTCCGAAGCAATGGCTGCGAACTCCTGACGGTCCTCCGCTGGGAGCCTGTCCCTGAATTTCTCAACAGCCTGCCACGTATTGAAGGCATAGCGGCTCAACATGGCCTGCTGGTTAGCGATGCGGAGTTGTAGTGCCCCTGTGGCGTAAACCTTAAATCCAGCCGCTTACGCTCTCTTGCCTTTGGAGATGGGCCAGGCTGGGGAAGCCTTTCCTTTTGGGCTGCGGCCTGCACGACCAAGGACCACAGTCGGCAGGCTCGGTGCCGGGTCTGCCAGAGCCTCGTCAGGGGATGACGACGAGGATGATTCCTGCATCGGTATCGGACTGGTTGGTGCCAACTGCGGTGCCGACTGGGCGTCTTGTGCCGCGTGCAGGTCCGACTCCGGCACCGGGGCCTGTGCCGCTGGGTCAGGCTGAGGTGCCCCCTGCGGGGAGGCGGGAGGTCAAGACAGCGATGCCGAGGGTTGTGAACGGCGACCTGAAGCGAGGGGAGGGGGGCCCGGCCCCCTGCCACTGATGGTAGGCCCAGGGAGTCCAAAAAGGCCACTGCCGATGCGGGGGCCAGGTTTGCTGTGAATGGTCCTGCCGGTGCCGGGACCGGGACCTGTGGGATGAGGACGCTCCCGAGGACCCTGAATGGATGGAAGTTGCGTCTGAATCTGACGAGTAGTTGGACTCCGGCCAGGGAGGAGCTGAGGAAGAGTGTGGGGCAAACCTAGCCGTGGACTCTGGCTTGCCCGCATGAGTACGGCGGGGCCGGACGAGTTGTGGCACCGGGGGACCCATGCCCGATGCCAGGAGACTTGCCTGACGAATAATCAGACTCCGGCCAAGGCAGAGCCAAAGAGGAGTGCAGGGCAAACCTTGCCATAGATTCTGGCTTGCCCGCGTGAGTACGGTGAGGCCGGATGAGTTGTGGCACCGGGGGACCCATGGCCGGTGCCGGGAGAGTCCCCGCCGGCTGCGGCACCGGGGTGCCCAGTCCTGGTGCTGGGAGAGTCAACATGGGCAGTTGCGGCACCAGGGTGCCCAGGCCTGGTGCTGGTAGGATAGTCGCCTGCAGTTGCAGTACTGGGGTGCCCAGGCCCGGCGCCGGTAGGGTAGTCGCCGGCAGTTGTGGCACGGAGGTGCTCAGGCCCAGTGCCGGTAGGTGAGTTGCCTGCAGTTGCAGCACCGGGGTGCTCAGGCCCGGCGCCGGTAGGGTAGTCGCCGGCAGTTGTGGCACCGGGGTGCTCAGGCCTGGTGCCGGGACCATTGCCGCTGGCTGTGGCACCGGGGTGCCTAGGCCCGGTGCCGGGAGAGTCATTACTGGCACGGTACCAGGGGACCCAGGCCCAGTACCGGAGACGGTGCTGTAGAAGCAGCTGATGGTTGGGGCACTGTCGAAGACCACCGGGTCGACGTCGGTGCTTGTGACGGCGCGGAGATGGACGTCGATTCCAGAAGGCCAGGTGCCGTGGAGGGGAGAGATGCCTGAGTGGACGCCACTCGGCTGTGGGAGTACGGCACCGGTGCAGCCAGACGAGGGGCTGGCAAGGAACTCAGCTGTGCTGAGGTTCGAGCGTGGTCCAAAGCTGAACGGGACTGGCGACATGGCGTCGAAAACGGTGTCGTGGTAGCAATCTGTACTGACCCCACATGGGATGGTCCCGACGCATGAGTCACCTTAGCATGCCGACCGGGGCCATGCGGAGACGGGGCCGTAGCCAACTCAGCCTCTGGCAACCTCGACCCTTCCGTCTCAACCGATGACGGAGGGGAGGTAGTGAGGCTAATAAGGTCCTGCGCCGCCTCGAACGTGTCCGGCATGAACGGACGGTGAGAAGGCAGGTGTCCCGGACTATCGAGACCTCCTCGTGCACCGCAGGCGATGTGTGCACCGGTGAGCCGGCACCGCGGTACCTGACCGAGGTCGACTTCTTTGAAGGGGACCTGCCGCGGGGCTTCTTCACCCTCTTGGATGGTGGAGAGTGAGACCGGTGCCGGGATCTCGATGCGGACGCGCGGTGCCTGTGAGGAGCCTCATGGGTGGACGCCGGTGCGCTGCACACCGTAGGCTGCTCCGGCGGCACCGGTTGTAGTGCTGTCTTCATGAAGAGAAGTTTTTGGCGGGAAACCCTTTCCCTCCTCGTGCGGGGCTTAAAAGACTTACAGATCTTGCAAGCAATTGCGAGATGGGCCTCACCGAGGCACTTACGGCAACTGTCGTGTGGGTCGCCTCTGGGCATAAACTTCCTGCAGTCAGTGCACGCCTTGAAGCCTTGCGGCCCTGGCATTCCTCACCCCCAAGGGGGGAGGGAGGAACAAAGAACTATCTAGCTAATAGAACTATTTACAGGTAAGTGATAGAACGGGAACCATCAACTAACTAAGAGAGATAGAAACGCTCCAGCGACCGTCACGGCGGTAAGAAGGAACTGAGGTGGGGCAGCACCGGCAGGGGTACTTATGCCCCGCCATGGTGGCGCCACTCCAGGGGGCGCCCTGTCGGCACTACAGGTACTGCTAGGGAAAACGCTCCGGAAGACGCGGTGAGCACACCTACTTCGAATGGACATGAGCAACCACTCGAAGAACCACCCTACAAACACTCAGCGTCCGGCCTCTCCCCCCAGGCCTCCCCCAACACCCCCAGCCCTCCGACCCCATGCTTACCTGGTTCTGCAAGACTGCCGGCACAAAATGGCCACCAGCAAAAAGACCAAGGGGAAGCAATGACTCCCCTGGGTCTTAGTGCTCAACCGCTCACCTGTTCCTATCCCTGTACTCACTCTTAAAGGGAACATGCTGTTTTAATTTAAATTTTTTTGGCTTAAGTCCTTGGACTCAACAACTTTGATGTCCCCCCCCCCTTTTTTGTTCTTTCAACAGAATTTTTTCCCGGTGTTTTTTTTTTTTTTTTTGGGTAGGTGGGTGGGGGGATTGTGTTCCGTATTTTTGTTTCAACCATCTGGCAACCCTATAGAGGAGCTATTCTGGAAGGCAGCAATAGACACAGTGGGGCCTATTGGCCAGGGACCAAATACATCCTGGTAGCAGTGGATACAGCTACCAACTGCCCCGAGGCCGTGGCTCTGCCCTCTAGCGAGGCAGACACGGTGACAGACGCGCTCCTGGCCATTTTCAGCAGGGTGGGGTTCCCCCAGGAGTCCTCACGGACCAGGAAGAGGTGGGCAGGCCTGGCTGGGGGGGACAGACAAGGGCTGGCCAGGCTGGGATGGGAGCAGCAGCACCCACACCCACAGCCCTGTCTGCCCAGAGCCCCCCTCCCGCCAGGCATCCCCCCCAGGCTCTCCGGTGCAGCCACCTCAGAGGGGGAGCCCGGCGTTTACCGTGAGCCCCGTGGGGCCAGCCTCTTCCTTCTCAGCAGCTGCAAGCAGGGACCCTGGGAGCTCCTGCCCACCCCGGGGCCCAACGCTGGACCCTCCCCATGCTCTGCTCCCCGGGCCTCGTGCCTGGGCCTGGAGCAACCCCCACTGCCTGGGTGGCATCAGCACCATACACCGGAGCTTTGGCCCACGGTGCTGGGCTCCAAACCAGAGGGGTCCCCGTTGGGAGGCAGTCGCTCAGTGCCAGCCCCGCTGGGCTGCCCCCAGGCTGAAGGGCCCAGCAGCTGGCAGGGGGCGCCCATCCCCAGCTGTTGGCGCTTTCCTGGCCCTTTCTAGGCTGGACTCCCTTCCAGCCCGGCTGGCCCCTGGCCACTGTCCCTGCCCTGTGTCGCCCACCATTCTGGGCTCCCTTTCGCCTTCCTGGGAGGGCTGGAGCGCCCCCTTCCCCAGGCCTTGGAGCCAAGTGAACCAGGCTGCCCAGCTCCCTCCACTGCCCCCATGGCTCCCCGGCCAGCAGCCCCGGAGCTCTGCGGGGTGGGCTGGGCTGCACAGCCAGCTCAGGGCTGGCTGGCTGCCACGGGTCACTCACAGGGCAGGCGACTGGCCCAGGCCGGGGAGGCTGGGCCAAGAAAGGGCCAACAAGCCCGTTACTCAGCCCTTGCGCAAGAGGACGGCTGAGCCCCAAGCCCCTTGTTCCTGCCAGCGCACGGGAGGGGCTGAGGCCAGGGGACACCAAGCCCCACGTGCTGCCCGCTCACAGCGCTGGCAGGACACGCTGAGGGAGGCAGAGGCTTCCCTTGGGAACGGGCCCACCAGGACGGGGAGGTGGGAGCCAGGCAGGGGCAGCCTTTGGGGAGGGGCTGAGGGCAGCTGGGAGCAGCTGTTTGAGGCAGCTGGGAGCCCGCCCTGCCCCTGCCTGGCACGTCTCCCTGCTCAGCCGGGGATTAGCGCCCAGGTTGGGGACACAATTACACAGCGACTAATCACACTCAGGATATTAAACGTACCAGCCCGCCGGGCTCTGCCAGGGCCAGGCCGCGGGAAGGTCACCCGGG